ATTTTTTTTTTTTTTTGTTTTTATATTTTTTTTTGTTTTTTGTTTTTTTTTTGTTCTGACTCTATACAGTGTGTCGCATTTAAGATGAAGATACCCCTATATTTCGGCTATTAGAATAAATACCAATTTGAAATTTTGCACAGTCATACAGGTTGTCAATTCACATTTTTTAAGATAATCAACTGAAATTTAATTTTTAAACACGGCCTACTGTTAATGCACAAACAGGGTGAATCTTCAATATTTTGCTTCGAGTTAGAGATATCGGAAAAAGTTATTTGGAAAAGATGTTCCAAATATTATTATAACCCCACATAACAAAGTTTTATGTCAAAATTCGCACTTTTACTTTTTTCAATAATTGAAGAGCTTATTTCCAGTGTCTTAAATCCAAAATTTCGATTTTTTAATTTTCTTTTTTTAAACTTTATAGATTTCTTCAAGTCTAAAATAAAGTTATATGTACCAAAACAACTTCTTATTTGCCATTTAAAAGTGCATATGAAAATTGTAAAATTGTATAATTTGTATGTTAAATTTGTATGAAAATCTGTAATTTCATGGATTTCATTATATGGATTTAAGACACTTTGGAAATAAGCTCTTCAATTGTAGTCAGGATTCTAAAACGGACAGTTGGCTGTCCCGAGATGCATCTTTAGACAGCCAATTGTAGATTTAGGATCGAGATTACAAATAATACTGAAAAACTAAAATTGCGAATTTTGTCATGAATTTTGGAATGTGCGGTTACAATAAGTGGAATAACTTTTCCAAATAAGTTTTTCCGATTTCTCTAACGCGAAGCAAAATATCGAAAATTTACCCTGTTTGTGGATTCGCAGTAAGCCGCGTTTAAAATTTAAATTTCAGATAACTAACTATCTTAAAAATATGTGCACTATCAACATGTATGACTGCAAAATTTCTAATCTGTATGTATTTTGATAGCTGATATATAGAGGTGTCTTCATCTTAAATGCGACACACTGTATAATAATGAATACTAGTGTTCAAGATGCATCGCGATAGCTGTAAAGAAATTAATTAGAAGGACTAAAAAGAATCGTCAGAGTCTTCTGAAGTCGAATCGTTCCAGGTTGTATAACTATTGGTGCTATTGCCGGTAAAACAGGATATTCATTTTCTATTTTTACAACATGAGCTTCGCAACTTTTCCACACATCGCTATTAATGCCACTAATTACTTCTCGAATATTCTCAATGGCCACTGCGCTTAATGTTGGTGACTGATTATATTTTCGCAATCGTTTTTTTACGGTACCCCAAACCATTTCAATTGGATTAAAAATGCAATAGTATGGAGGTAATCGCAAAAGAGTATGGCCGTGCCTGCTGCAAATGGTGTCAATAACGTATTCGTTTTTGAAATTCCGACTTTTGATCATTCTAATTAATTCTTTTTTTACTGGAATCTTTTTAGGAACAGTGATATTTTTAAGTTCCATAAATTTTAAAATTTCGTCCTTTTTCGTGTTATTATTAGGTATTTTATTTAATATGCGGGAATGATACGACGCATTATCCATAACAATCACTGAATTCGGCGGAATATTGGGCAAGAGTTGTTCAACAAACCACTTTTCAAATAAATCGGCTGTCATATCTTCGTGATAATCGGCAGAAGACTTTGTTATATTTTTGGCCGACAATAGCAATGCATTAGATACAAAACCATCTTTGCTTCCGGCATGAAGAATAATAACACGTTTTCCTCGTGAACAGGGTGTATTTAATGCACACTTGTTTGTGTTGTCAACCCAGCCGTACTTGACAACATCATGCGTATCGAACCAGGTTTCATCTAAATAGATTATGTTTCTGTTTGAATTACGATACTGTTTTATTTTACTCAAATACTCTCGTCGAAGTTCAACAATACGCCGAGATTCCATTATTACCATTCGATTATCTAATTTCTTATATTTAAATCCACAACTTATCAAAATCTCGCGCAGTGTTTCCAAAGATGTATAATTATATTCAGGGAAATCTCTCAATTTTTCACGAATCAGTTCTAAAGTAGGCACTCTATTTTCTTTGTAAAAATTGTAAACTGTTCGCTGAATAACGTCTTTTGCAGCAGTGTCAATCCTACCCAATTTTTTATTTGGTCGCTTTCGTTTTAAGGAATGATCTGTAACAATGCCTAATTTAATAATTGTATATATCGTCTTATACCCGATTTTTGTTAATACATGAATTCTCGAAACAATTGCATTATCAGCCATCAAAATATTTTCTTTTTTCAAACACTCATACATATTTAAAACTATTCTTTGGGATTGTACGTGCAAATCTTTATTTTTTAATTCGGGGCTGTCATTAACATAATTGTCATTATCTATTGATAACACAGAAGTTGATGCATCTTGATCATTCGTATCAAATGGTCTCCAAAATGCCATCCTAGAAAAATATAATATTACTTACCTTATTATCCGCCTCTGATAGCTGCTTGCAAAATGAACTATTTAGGGTGTCATATAGCCAGACAAACAGGTGTTCCATCAAGATTTATTGCGATGCGCTTCGCTGTTGCCAAGTTTAAAATTATTGAATGTAACTTTAATACCATAATTAATATATCTGCAATTTTTCATGTTTCCAGGTAAGGTATAAAATCAATAAAATTTGGAAAAAAATAATACAATTCTTGAAACCGTTTTTCAGAACTTGGATTCTTAAAAGTTGTCTGATTTCTTAAAAGTCGATCATTATATCTATAAGAGTATTACCGCTAAATTCACCAACATGGCAACGTCGATATAGACCGAACATCGAAATCACCTCGAAATTCTGTCCAGACTACAATGTTGCCGATATTCGAAAATTACTTAGAGTATAAGTTATATATACAAAGTTCACAGTTGCTTTAATTCATTAGTGAAGAGTCCATGGAAATATTAGTACCTAGTTAATTAATTTATATAGATATATTTTTTGAGAATATGTTCATATTATTTTTTAAGAGTGTCGTTCGTTGACTAGCAATTGAATAATAACGAATAGAGAATAGAGAATATTTTTTAAATATAACCTTAGGAATTTTAGGAAATATGTCTGACAACCTTGATTTGAAAGGCGGTCTCTTTGAAATCAGAGTGAGGCATATTTATGTTGGAAAATTATTAGTGGATGTACTATAACACTATTTGCTCATACTCCACTCACATTTTCAGCCGGCACTCCTTTCCTACTTAATCTCTGCCACAGTAGGTTTCTGATATCTTCATCATGTGCTTTCTCAAGTTTAATAATACAATGTAAATTCACTCTAAATTGTTAAATTAGCTCTTTTAATAAAAATTGCTTGTTGTAGACCTGCCTTGCCTAAATCCAAATTGACATTTATCCATTTTCATTTTTTAGAACCTTACACTGAATTCTGTTAGATTTTACCACAAATGTAGGATAATAAAAAGATATATTGTGAATTGAGTGCTATGAAAAATTGTCATTGTCAACAAAATGAAGCAGAGGTTTACTGGAAATAACGATTGCAAACCAAAAAAAAACACTAAATAGCTATATCTAAAATATCGTTATTCTTTATTAAAAATCTGGGAAATCAAAGGAGGGGGGGCCGTTATTGGTGCAATGGCGAAGGAAAACCCCTCTAAAGCTCTCCTAAATTGTATAGGACTGCCTTTAGACCAGCTATGATGTATGGTACTGAATGTAGGGCAGTAAAAAAGGGGATGAACAGAAATTACATGTTTCTGAAAAACCATAATCTCATACAAAAAGCGGAGAGGTACTTAGTCCCTGGAAGAGAACCGAAAAGTTTAGAGGAAAATACTTAGAGAAGCCGATTCCACATAGAGAAAGCTAATGAGAATAATAATGGTAACGAATGTTCTAGAAATCAAAATAATAAGAGGAACCTCTAAATCTTAATAAAAAATTACCTAAACAAAAAAATTAAAACAATATCTATATATGTAATAAAAAAAAGCATCACTAGCATATCAAAATTAAATAAACACAATGTCAGAATTTAATTTTACCTACATAATGTCAAAAGAAAAATAAATTTTAATTTCTAATAAAACTGTACTAGTCAGCTTAATCCTAAAATGTGAATATCATCCGCTTTGTACCAATACCACAATATATTGCTAATAAATTGTTTAGCGATATACTGTGCCACAATACCTCAATTTTATTGTCATTTTAATAAACATGAAACCCGCCAATTTTTAAATTGGGGACCCACCCACCAACCAATCACGCGAAAGTTAGGGAGCGCATTATAATGTAGTCTCTGTAAGAGTGGCTAATAATATTTTGGTGGCTCAAGCATGTTAACCTACTTTTAACCTGATGATGGAATTATTATTGCGAAAACGTTTGTTATTTTGATAAAGCCCTTTTAAGGGTTTTTTAAATATACCTACTTACAAAGATTTAAACCGCTTTTTGTGATACATGGTATACAGCCAGCTGCAGGAATTTATTTTCCTCGTAGATTTTTTTAAAGAAAAAACCTTGCGATGTTCGTTAGGCAGTTTCGATAACTTTATAAATCGATCAAGAAAGAAAGTCTATCAAACTAAAGTTATATTTTCTACTTCTCAGAAGTCTTCACGTTAAATAGTTCTCAGTCATTGTCGTTTGTTCAATATATAAAAGTACATTAATATAATTACGGTGATTAAACAGATTGTAAAATAAAATATGAATGGGTTAAAATCAAAGTGGTGTAAGTCATATTCCTGAAATGATGTAAGCCTATTTTATAATCTTGGTATAATATTTAGAGGCCTCTTCAGAGAAAAAGTGGTGTAAGTTTTTACTGTAAATACTTACACCACTTTTCCTGATGAAAAGATGTCTATTTATCAAAGTTATAAAGCAAGACTTCCATCATTTCACAAATATGACTTAACCTCTTTGGCTTTAACACCCTCATATGAAATAAAAAATGTATAATTAAATAAAAAAAATGTAGATATTGGTAGAGAAGTGTCACTTACCTGATATAAATACGCACACGACAAATCTATCAATCCCTTGGGCTTGGTCCTTTTGGGATTTTCGTAAAGGTACAGATGCGTATCAGTGCCGTCGACCAAAAGTACGAAGTACAACAGTTTCCACTTTTTGGCCGCCTTATCTGATTTTCTGTGCAGATATCCTTGGTGCTTGATGCCGCGCATCTTCTTCAAGCCGGCTTGGTCGCGGCATTCTCGCAGAGTCGCGTAGATTTTTTCCGCTTCCGATTTGGCTTTTTGGTTCTCCGGTACCCAATCGAGTTGCTTGGAACCATCAACTACAAGCTGAAAATGATAGAAACATATAAATATAAGGCAAATCTTAACATTTAATATTGACTATGTATCAAAAGTACACAAATAATAGAAAGAAAACAATTTTTGGGAAAAATCAGCTTAAGGTCAATACACTTTTGGATCAACAAATCAATCATTGAAGTACTTATGACAATTTGAAATAGATACATCAGAAATGAAATTTTTCTATGCTTTAATCAAGATCTTTAAATTGATGTCACAGTGTTATGGATTTAAGGGGTTAAAGAGAGGGAGAGGGGTTAAAAATGCATCGATCTCAACAAATTACTCCTTGGAATGATTTATATTTTTATGATATCAACTAACACACATACCAATGAAAGGAGTATATAGAAACTACTTGAGTAGTGCTACAATCTCTGGATAAGCCAGGAACTTACCAGATTGCCCTAGTATACAAGATTTTTCAACAACAACTCTTTATCAACTTTCTCCATTCATATTAACCATCATTAGGAGCAATCTTTTTCATTAACTTTCTTTTGTAACACATTCTTATGTCATTGCATCTTGTAATCTGCAGCGTGTTTTGAATGAGCAGACTATTAAAACAGTGGCTTCAAGGGGTGTAACAGAACATATATGAAGAATATTTGTAAAAGCTATTAGCCAGTATAAAAAATTCATTGATTGTAACATATTTTGGTACATATTCAAATAAATTTTATTACAAATGTTGCAATCTTTCATTCTTACTCTGGTCAAACACTACAAACTATTTTCCTAAATGTTGATAAATCTAAATACATCTAAAACAATTATAAAACACTTACCGGGTGTTGAAGAGTATATCCTTCAACGATCTGTTCCTTTCTATACCTATTGATAACAGCATCTAAACATTCAAATATTCTACCACCCATCAGGTACCGTACGCCCTTCTTCTCGATCCTAAAACGCTGAATTTGATTGTTGATATGGAAGAATAGGGAATAGTCCCCAGGCGAATTATCACTAGGTCTCACTAAGAAACTTCCAGGTCCAGCTATATATAAATAGAAAACACTAAATCAAATTATATCAACATTATATATAAGGAAAAAACTGAAAAGTACTATTTTCTACAATGTTTATACAATTTCTTAGGAATTGCAAAGCTTTTTTGGCACTGGCTTCAGAACATCTCTCTTTTTGCACAATAACTTCATCAAATTTGTTCCCTGGAGCGATCTTCTGATATTTGCATGTTTTGAACAATAGTGGCTGTATAAGCAATTCATACTTTTGAGAATCATTGAGATCAACTTGTATTTTTTGGGGTCTTTCTTCTTTTTTTGCAGTTTTTTTACAATGTCTTTGTGAAAAGGCACCAATAATATTTGTTATTGATGGTTCTTCTGTTTTCAAGATAATTGATAAACAAAAGAGCTTACGCATGTTCAAATATGGGAGGTAAGATCTTTTCAGGTGATGTTTTCACCTTTCGTCACTTTGGACAGCTTTTATCCACTGCTGTTCACTTGCTTGAGGTCAATTTGACTGTGGGAATAAGTGATGAGTCCACATTTAATCACTACTGATGCAAAAAACTACTGTTCTCTGTTATTTCATGCAAATTTAGTTTACAATCGGCCATAACAATTTTGACGACATTTTGTCAGAACTGCTAAATTTAAATGACCAATGCATGTAGCATGATTTGTGACTATTCACCACTTCACTTGCATACCACATCTTATTAATTGTTTTAACATTTGTTTGTCCAATAGCATCTATTACAGACAGATGATATTTGAAAGCTGTTATTTTTTATATATTATATAGATTTGATATTAGAGGTGTCGTCTATACATAAGTATAATATAGATTCATTAAATAACAATAAGTAACAAAAAATATAAAAATAACTATAAAAAAATAAATAAAAATAAGTATTTTATCCTTTTCTAGAGTATTTTACATACAATATCTCAAATTAATATACATGCAATATTTTTCAAACACAAAATATATGTATATTTGAACATATAACAATACACTTCATTCCTTACCCTTAACTAATAAATCCACAGCTTCATTTTTTGTGCAGTTGGGATGAAACCAAGGAAACACTGTATTAGGATCTATACTATCATCTAAATCTTCTACAAGCTCTCTAAATATCATGCCTTGTTCTCCAGTACGATGAGCAGTGACCCACAACCAACCATTTCCCATATCATTATGAACGAAGAAAATATCACCCTTTTTGAATGTCAGTTCGTCTGTATCAGGCATCTTTGTGTAGGGTAATATGGCCACAACTCTCTGAAAAATACATTATGTAAAAGTATGAAAAAATACTAGTTCAAGATGTTGTTTGGTGTGACTTTTACTCCATATGATTTTTTTTATTCCATAATATAATTCATTATCACTTAGTAGCGGCAAAAACAATGTTAACCCTTGTTTTCCCGCTTCTCTCACAAGTTCTAATATCTTTTACGATTTCCTCAAAAATAATAGTGAATAAAATAAAATCTACAGTTTTATTGTAATGTAATGTCTATTTACGGACTTGCCATTTTTTTTACAAATCAACATAAATTTAGGTTAACCTATTAAAGCACAATGTGATTACATAAAAAGGTATTTTTGATCTTATTCTTAATAGTAGTAAGTGGTAAATGAAAAAAAATCATTATTATTAAATTTGTTTGCATTTCTACACATTCTCTGTTAGGGTTTATTTACAGTACAAGTTTGATTATGTTCAAATTCTAAATAAAATAAGTCTTGAGATCTGGTCTCTCTACAGGGAATATGGAAGTAAACCTTTTCCAAAAGAGCACAAGCATCAATGCCTCCTCATATTAATTCATATATTAAATGATACATCTAACAATATTCGTCTTTCTTCAAGAGTAGGCAATTTAAGTGAAGATTGCAAAACAATGTTTTCAATTTCATTTACTGGTATTCTCAATTTAAAAGCAATAAATCTTAAAAACTTTTTCTGTACTCTTTCTAATAGATATTTGTAGCATTTATAATGAGGAGACCAAATATTGCTGCCATATTTCGAAACCGATCCAATAAGGGAACAGTAGATATATTTGAGACAATAAATATTATCAAATTCAAAGAAGCTGTTTCATAAAACCTAAAGGTTTCATGGATCTATTAGAAACGTAAGAAAAGTGGTCCCTGAAGCTTACTGTAGGCTCAAAAATTACCCGTAAATATTGTGATTACCTCTAAAATATTCGGTCCAATATGGTATTCAAATGAAATTGAATGTTTGTGTGTAAAAAATCGCATTACCTTACGTTTATTTATGTTCAAATTCAAAGCATTTATTCATCATTCATTCATTCTGTAATAAACTACAGTCATTGGAATTTTTTATAACTATAAATTTTTAGACCATCAGCATAGAGAAGAATATTACTATGATAAAAATAATTTTTTATATCATTTATAAAACAATTAAAAAGCAGAGGAAATAAATGTCCACCCTGTGGAACACCAGAGGTTACATTGATAGTTGATGACAAAAATTAGTTAATTTTTACAACTTGAGTTCTATCTGTGAGATTGCTCTGCATCCAGCCTAGTAATCTTTCATGTATTATGATTAACTCTATCGAATGCCTTTGAAAAGTCAGTGTAAATGACATCAACCTGGTCATACCCTTCAAGAGCATCCAACAAAAAATTCTTGTAAAACTAAAAGATAGGTAGTAGTAGAACGTCCTGGAATAAAACCATGTTGGTAGGGCATGAAAGTAGGATTCAATAAAGGGCCAAGTTTTGCAGCTACAATCCCTTCAAAAGATTTAGTTGAAAACTGAAATTTTAGATATAGCTCGTTAGTTTTCAATATTTTCTCTATTACCACCTTTGTGGACTGGGGTAATATAACTTCTCTTCCATATCTCTGCAAAGATACTTGAGCTCAATGATAAACTAATTATTTTTTGTAAAATATAACTCAAAATAAATCTACAATTAAATAGGAACAAAGTCTATATATTATCAGGCCCACAACTTAATTTTAGATCAATCTTGATATAAATTCAAATACATCTAATACAGAAATATCACAAATTTCAACAAAAAGACTTATCAGAGTTTACAGCTGGATAATCTGTATTACTAGTAACAGGTTGAATTAAAAAAATTTCCTAAACATATTTGCTATATTTTGGGAATTATCAGAAGTTATATTCTCATATTTCATTGTGTTTGTCAATTCAAAACATTTTCTTTTATTATTTACATAATTCCAAAAATCTTTCTTATCATACATAGCAGTTTGTAAATTATTTAGGTAAATTTGATGACATGTTTTCTAACAATCCTTAAATTCTTGACGCAAATTAGAAAAAAGATCATAATCCTTCTTAGATCCTGTCATTTTGTATTTTGCATGAGCAATATTCTTTTAAAATAATATATATTTTAAATGAGGAGTGTACCATTTTGGAAATTTTGAGTTTTGCATCTAGTTTTTGGTACAAATAGATTAATAAAGGAATCTAACACTTCATAAAATTTATTAACACTATTATTTACATCTGTCTCATCAATAATCTTATCCAGTCGACTGAACCTAAATATTCATTAATAAGGATATAATTAGCATTTTTAAAGTCAAAATAGAAATAATCATAGCCAAGAGAGTCTAAAATTATCATCAGTTGGCACTACAGCCCTTCGTGAGCCTTGGCCTGCTTCAAAACATTCTTCCATCCTTCCCTATCGAGTGCTGTCTTCTCCAGATCTCTGAGTTTAGGTCGCCCCCTTCTTCTTCTTCCGACCCGCACCCCCACAATGTAAGACTCTAATGCCGGAGTAGCATCAATTTTCAACAAAATGTTAAGGACTTAAGTGTGGATGGTAGCATAAAAAAAATTCGGTGCCAAGACAAACCCCCACCCGCCGCTACATTGATTATGATGATGGTAGATTGATTAGCAATTTTTAAGTCAATGTTATTTATACTAGATTAATACAGATCTAAGAAACCCCCATACAGTTTGGTACATTATTTAATTGAAAGAGATTTAAAAAAGCAAAATTTTCTGAAATATGTTTAACTTTGTTAGTAATATTTCCAATCGGTCTTGAATCATATTCATCATTTTTCCAATGGATATTTGGTAGGTTAAAATCACCAAGTAAATATACCAAACTGTACTGTGTTTCATATAAAATACCTACAAACATAATGGTGAGTTCGGAGGTAAGTAAACACACCCCATAAGACACTTTTGTTTTCCAAATAAAAGTTCAACAAAAATACATTCAATGTTTTTAAATTGATCATTTACTAAAATTACTTAGAAGAAATGTCCCTATTAATCGCTATAAGAAATCCTCCAAGTGGTTCAGATGAACTGGTTAAGCTTGATCTATCACAGTGGTATATATTGTACTGTGAGATGCCTAGTTCATTACTCTCTATATTATTACATGAGATTTCAGCAAATGCCAGTATATTATAATTATTCACTATTACTGATTCAGAGAGGGTATTCAGTTTTGTTCATAGTCCTCTAAAATTTTGATAATAGACACTGTAATAGCCATTTATTTTAGTGGCATTGCCTTCATAATATTTAGTAGTCAGTTCTGAGATTATTTTATTAATATATTGGAATATATTTTCAAATTTCAATAAATGAAAGTCAACAAAATATTGAATTGGCATTTTTCATGTCTAGCATTCTAATACTAATATCTTTTAGTATTTGACGTTCAATTACATGATGATTTCATTAAGATATATTTGTATTTGTTAAATGTCTTTATGATATTCACAAAGCCATTATAATCAGTTTTATAAGACACTTTAATCTTTTTTAGGACCATTTTTATTTTGCTTAAAAATTTGTTGTTCTTCAACTATCTCATTTCCTGATTTAATCATAGATTTATTACTTATGCAGCAGTAGTTATCTGTTGGGAATTTATCTTATCATCAAAAAACATTTGAGTACATTTATATATTTATCTTAAATACCTCATATAACTCACTGCAAGTTCACTGCACAATTTTTCAATTATTAAAAAAGAAAAAGTAGTTACATCAAAAACATTCATCAAGTATTTGTATTTACAAAAATATATCATAAAAGTTGCCTTTTTAAATATTTTATACCAAAAAATATATTTTACCATAGTGTTAACTTAAAAATACTATTATTCACAAACAAAAAACTGGTAACCACTCATTGCACCAAATACATCAGCATTGTTTATCACATTAAGTAACCTATTGTTGTATGGGAGCTACAATCATTAAACCTTCCATAAGAAATTCACATGAACGGTGTTTATAGACAAGGTTATATTATGGGAAAAAGAAAATATTAAATGAAAATTGTGTCAAGTATTTTATTTTTAAAGTTACATTCCATTCCAGTTTTCTCGAAAACTGGGAACCCGTAACTATAGTTCCATTTATTTTCCAGTTCACCCTGTTCATTAATAAAATTATAAGGGAATTTATGAGGATTATACAATAGTTTTCCAGATAATTTAAAGATTTTTTTGAATACATTTGAACTACAAATTGAGAAATCAAGCTGTTAACATAGAGTTAGGATTTATCACATTAATTCATGTGGTGATTCTTGATATGTCATAGTATTGAATCCCAAAAGCCAGTGTTTTCATGATTATATTGGCATTTCCCCTGATCAAATCAGAATGATAAACATTTTAAATGCTGACTCATAGAATTTTTACTACTATTAAAAAGTGGGAAAATATTCAGCCACATTTTTGCAGAATACCTTAACAAGTGATGAATTAAACCAGGCATGAACAAAAACCACACCACACCCTCCTGGATGATAATGCAGTAAAGAATGTTTTAATTGTCAGTAATAAAATAAAAATAGAATTTCAGCTAACTTATAAGAAGAAAATTGTTTTAATGATTTTAAAATATAATTTCTTATAATAATTATATTAAAAACTGCAAAAAAATGAATACAATTTAATAATAACTATCATTTCTTCTGATTTTGCATGGAAAAATATTTGTTGGAATATTTAAATATGCTCTATACACCTCTTCAAGGTTTTCTTTGCTGGTTAATGAATTGATAGATAAATAAACAAGTCAGTCACCTTTCTATATTAGGATAATGTATGATGAATGTTAATATGTGAGGTTAATCAAACCAAATCAATCAATACAATTGAAAAAATTACCTTCTTGTCATTCACGGGTTCAGGTGGAGGTACAGGATGCACCAGTCTCTCCCTCTTCAATAAATCACTACATTCCTTATAGTACCCCACAAGATCATTCAAGGAAACAAACTGTCTACCCCCTATATAGAAATCTCCACACACAGCTGTAATCCTAAAATGATTCATCCCAGTCCTCCCTAAGTACGATAAAACATAGCTACCCGGCTTTCTATCGCTTTCTCTCACTAAATAAGAGCCTAATTTGTTACTTTGCCAGAGCCTTTCTTCAGCTTGGTACCTATCGAGCCTGCCGTGATACCACTGGGTTTCTGCGGGAGCATAATGAGCACTATCACCTAAATCTTGTTCCTCTTGCTCGGGTTTGATGGCCCCCTGGGTGTCCTGTTCGTTCCCGTCTTCACTTCCTGTGCTAGGGGAGCCTAATTTATCTTTTTGTATGCCTTGGTTGTGTCCGCTACCGGTACGTATTAGATCGGCCATTTTTAGAGTTGATCACTAACACATTACAAGTTTTCTATAAAGGGAAGAGCTTCAAGGGATGTAATATTCTAATTGACTTTAAAATTAGTTTTAAGACATTGTTTTACATACAGATTAGAGATTCTGTGTATTGACGTTTCACGTGAGATGACAATAGATTTTGACATTGACGTTCATGATTGCTCTCTTCTTTTTACTAAATTGACAACTATATTTATATCTATGGTAGACAGTTACTTTTTGGTGGATAAATTAAATAAAAAAAAAACAATTATAATTCTTTTACTCAAAGACACAGAAATGCTTTTATTATCTAATTTTATTAATTACAAATTACGTGATATCTACTAATTGAACCACTCTTTATCCTAATTGAAATTGTATTATGATAATAACATATGATGTTAAACTAGATATTAAAACCAATATGAACTTCTTGTTCATAGTAAACCATCCTGCCATGGTTATTTCGGGAAACAAATCTGTCATAAACTTAGACAGAGCTATTAGTTCTTCTGTAAGTACTTGATCCTGTACGTCGGGATGTAGTAAGAAACAAGTTTTAATTAAATTGTCTGCTGCTCTTGAAATCTTGTCGCTGGAAAATGCTACATTAACGATGTAAATCTGAAACAAATGAACAATTAGGAATACAAGGAGTGGTCGATAACTACTAGGTGAAATAAACAAATCGCAAGTTTTTTTGACAAACACAATAAATTAAAATCAGACTGAAAATATTTTCCATGGTGTTTATATAATTTTATAATTGTTGATCTTGCTGTCTAATACGTCGCAATTCAGTCCAGAATGTTCAAGCGGTAGCCCCGTGTTGAATCCACGTGGTAGAATTCACTGGATGGTAACGGTTATTGTACTGTAACTCGCGGTTGGCTTATCCGGAGGTACCAGACAACATTTTGGAAGAAATTGCTGTAGATACATTCGTCAATGGGTTGAGAGACAGTAAGCTGTAGAAAGCTTTACGACTAGCAAGACCGAAAGTTTTAGATGAAGCGCTCGCCATTACCTTGGAACACGAAACATCTAGTTGATTTATATGAATGATGGCGAAGTAGGTCACATTACAATACAAATAATACAATACAAAATAATACAACAGTTAGAAATCTAGAACATATTGAACACCATGAGGAAAAAGGTATTGAAATACTAATGCTTACTAGTCAAGATGGCCTTTAGTGCAAATTCTTATCACTGTCTTAAATTAGAAGAACGACTTTGATTGTTATTTCTGTTATTTCTTTCTGAGGGGTTCATGCAGAGCTGGAGAGTCCTATAGATTCCGCCATCCTGGGCCTTCATGTAAAGTTGTTGATCGGGACGTTCAGGTCTAATAGGAGAGCAGTGTAACGGAGTGTAACCCTCCAACGATGAGTGGTACGTGTCACAATTCTTAAGGCGCGTACAGACTAGCATACGCATGCGGTGAGAAGACACGCATATGCGTTCGTACTCAAACCATTCGCGCTTAGAGCATTCGTTGAAATTAGTGAAAAAATGTCTGAGGAGCTACTTATGGTTAGCGCCGCTTTTGTGGTTATTAGTTCATTAAAAAAGAAAAAACGAAGGAAAAATAGGCGATGGTGGACGACGCATTTATTTAAAAGAAGAACCCTACAAATGAAGTCCGATTTACTAGTAGATTTGGCGTTAGAACCTAATACTGGAGAATTTCAAAATTTTACACGTATGTCAGTAGAAGACTTTGAACGCCTTTTAAACGATATATTAGCCTCGTAATAAAGAAAAACGACACAGTCTTAAGAAAAGCCATACCTGTTAAGGAACGTTTACTGATAATATAATATAATGTTTGCAATTAATGGATTTGTATAAAACAAATCCATTAATTGCAAACATTGTTCATTTGACCACTCCATTTTATACATAAATCAATAAAATTAATAAAACTCAATAAATCCGAACTTGTTTGCGAATGCAACAAATCCCCACGCTATCCGTCTAAACTGAGCACGAACGCACACGTATGTTTCTTTGATGTGTGCGAAAAAACCGACACCACTCTGGCTCGCAGCATGTGTGCTTAAGTCATTCGCGAGAACCAACGCATGCGGCGAGAGGTTACAAAAGCGCCGTCCACATTTGCACACGTATGTGTATTCGTGGCTGCTCACTGCATGCGTTTGTAGGTCTGTACGCGCCTTTAGAAGGATGAATCTCGAATATACAATCGATGACATTCTCAATAGCGCTTGTCTTCGAGACGCTTCCAACGAGAAGTCTAGAGTTGGACTACTCCAGATGATTCTAGAATAATACTTTTGATATTTTCGTGCTCTAAACTTATAAATAAATATATTTATATAAATTAGAACCACTCGATTTATTTAAAAACTGTACAATATATTAAAAAAGACAGTGAAAACTATATAATAAAATTAACTTACTAGTAGCACTGCCAAATGTGGCCCATAGAACATAATCATTCCATTAGAATTATCATCATGCAAAACATATCTCATAGACACATTAAAATATTCTAAACTAAAATAGAAAAAGTTAAAGACGATGGTCAAGATATAATATCCAAAAATATCATTCAAATCATTAACGAGGTCGTACACGATCGAATAGTTCATCTTAATCTTCACAAAAGCCAACGTCATCGTTTTTGTGTGAACGGATTGTTTGACGATCTCTTTGATCATTTTGATTCGTCTTTCTATAACAGACGTTACTTGATAAAACGTAAAAATTACCAAAAACATATTAAAACTGATCACCATGCTTACAAATATGACCATGAAGTAAAAATATTCACCGCCAGTGGGCCAATTCAAAAATATTTCGTAAGCCGTGTAACCAGAACAAAATATAATTGACAAAATTATAGTTAGAATTCTCTTTCTGTCGCTCATGGGGCATATTCCTAGATTCGCGTCCAACGCAGATAGTTTAGTAAACAATGAACTCCAACTTTGCCTTTTAAACAGATTTAGGAAATTGATCATTTGAGTGTACCACACTACTAACGACGTTAGGACTATAACTGCGATGCTGGTGTCCCTTTCAGTTGGATAAAGTACATCTATGACATCGATAAAAATGTCAACTCCAATAATGAACATCGTAAAAGTGCCGTACAAGAATATGTGGAATTTGAACCTGAAATTATTTTCAAAAGTCGAAGGATACAAGCCCACTAATTTTCCGGTCTTGTAGGCAAAGTCCAGCAACTCTGTATCTTTTCTAGAAGGCATTTCTTTCACAGGCAGCTTTTTCTCAATCATTTTGGTGAATGATGAATATAAATTGTTGTATCTCGATACAAACAAACTGTCGTGGAGACTTTCGAGTTTAATTTTAATAATGGGACTGTCAAGGAGTACTTGTATGATTAAAAACAATTATTGTCATTGTTGTTTGTTAATATTAATTAATTTTCTGTTGTTCTAGCTATTAATCATATTTCATTTTTAATTATTTGATAGGGAACTACAAATAATTTATCAAAATATTAAAAGAAATGTATGAAAAACATTTTTTCGACTTATAAATTAAAAAACAAAACATATTTAAATTAATAGTAGCAAAATTCAAAAAATCTTGGCAAATGTTTGTTTATCTATATTAAGTTAGTTCTCGTGTTTGTGCGGTGGCGCTTCCTGGGGGGGTTGTGGGGCGGGGGGGGGGGGGGGTAGGAAGGAACCACCGAAAGTAACAAAAAAATGCAAACAAAACCCACAACAGTGAATGGATGAACCACAAAACAACCACACAAAAAAAAGAAACCAGTACAAATCAACTTCGGCGATGGGTAAAATGGTTTGGCGGGGGTTTTGTTTTTTTTATTTTTTTTTACTTTTTGTTATCTTTTTTTTTTTATTCTCTCGCTTTTTTTACCTGTTTTTTTTTTTTCGGTTTTTTTCTTTTTGTAATTGGGTTTTTTATTTCTGTTGCTTAATTTTTATGGAGAGCCAGGGTTGGTTGGTGTGTTGGTTTTTGTTTTTTTATACGTCGAGTGGGATTGGTTGGTTTCTTTTTTTTGATTTTTTATGTTTTTTATTTTTCTTCCGTTTATTTTTTAGTTTTTTCTTTTTTTCCTCGGTTATTATTTGGTTCTTTATATAATTGTATAGGCATATGGGTTATATGTGGTAGGTATGTTGTCATTAGGGTGAAGGGGCCATATGGGGGGGGGGGAGGGGGGTGGGGCGTCGGGGAGGTGGGGGGTGGCGAAGGGGGGGGGCGTGTGTGGTTTGGGGAACATAGTTTTTGTGGAGGGATTGGGTTTTTTTTTTATTTTTCTATTTGTTGGGGTTCTTATTTAGGTGCGTTTGCTTGTTTTCTTTCTTGTTTTTTTTTTTATTTTGATTTTTTTTTGTTGTTTTTTTTTCTTTTTGTTTTTTTGTTTTTTCTTATTTCTTTTTTTTCTTTTGGTTTTTTTTTTATTGGGTTTTTTTTATTTGTGTTTGTTTTGACTGGGGGGGGGGGGCGTGTGGCGGTGACCCGGGTGAGGCGGGCGGCAGGCGGCAGGGTTATGGAGAGAGGGAGGGTGTGCGGGGGATAGATCACATAATGGTTTGGGGTTGGTTTTTTCTTTTTTTTTTTGAGTGGGTTTTTTTTTGCTTGGGTGTTTTTCTTTTATTTTTTTTTTAATTTGAATTATTTATTAGTAGTTTCGGGTTGTTGCGGTTTATGGTAACATAGCGGGGTATTCGTTTGGAAGTGGTCTATAATCTCTGGGTAAGCGTTGTATATTCGGTCTGGTTCTTGATTATGGTGGGACATGTTTAGTCGGGCGAGGGGGTGTAGTGAAGGGAGGCAGGGGTTTCTGGGTCGGGGTACAAGGGGGACAATTGGGGGTCAGTGAACAGTACGTCGTGTCCTATGCACTGGGGGAGTTGACAGGGCCGGAGGGTGTGCTGATACGGCTAGGGCCTGGGGTGAAGTTGGATGGGGCATAGCGGGAAACAAAGTTGTAGTTTCGGCAATTCTAGGGAATGGGTAGCTTGCCTTACTCTCTCCGCGAAGGGGGAAGGATTTAGGCATGGTGGGGTCGGAGGGCTGTGCGGAGGGGCGCTGTCGTCTGCGGCAGCTTAACAATTATGGATGCAGGGGGGAAACAGAGGAGTGGG